CTGCCATCTTTACCAAAGAGGAAAAGTCATTTAAGTTGTGGAATCGAGTACAATGTTTTTGAAGACGTCTTCTTGTACTGACCGGTATATAAAGATCTTTGGAGAACGTAGGTCTATAGTATTCTAAAGGTGCGATGTTGTTGATGATACTTTGATGTTGTGATAAAATATATTTGTTAGTGTGTAGTGGCATTGGATTATAACCACACAATCCTCAAAGCTGAATACGAGATTACTCGGAAAACAGATATTCAATATTTAACGCGGAGAAATACCTAACGATGAAGAAGGCGCGAATAAGGAATTGAATGAGTTGGAGTTGATCGAATGACATGGCTCGGTCATGCAGGCGTGGTCCCTGCTGAATGAAAGAGATGATGTTAATGTAAATACCCCCGATAATACTGCTATTTCATTTATTATCACTTTAGGTTGACGGTAAACACAGCTGAACAGTAAGTTAATGGAACTGAATGGACTTAAAACAATCCACACCGAATCCTTTAGTTGGTTTAGTTCAGGCATATCACATAGTAGTGAGTTTAGGCTAGAGTGGGTGTAAGTAAGGCATCCTCCGCATCGTCCTTTCAGTTTATCGCTTCTATATAGGAAATAGTTATCAAGAGTTATACTTAAATCAGAAATATTAGTGTTAGTTTATGCTTCAGTTATCGGTATAGGCGAAGGTTGTTATATGGATACAAACATGGCTAAATCCGTCTTTTTATTGCAGATCGACCTAGCGTTGATAAGACATACATTTAAAAAATGGCCTACTAAGTTGAAATGAGTAAAAGTATATCGGTTAAAGTTGTCATAACCCTCGCAGGTATGATATGGTTTTAAAGTGAGGGTTTGAATGTTTTTCATTAGCTCAGTATTTTGATAGCTAGAGTTAGTGGAAGATTTATCAAATGAGCTGGTGAAGTTTCTTAGGGAGTTTACTCAGGATTATGCTTTATTCGCGATGTCTTTCAAATCGATGAGTTCGCACTAACACGACGTTGCACTGTTGAAAACCTCATGAGAGACGAGCAGTTCGGTATGAACTGCCGATAGAAAATTAACTGACCATATACACAATGTATGTAATTACATGACTGTGGTCATTTCTGGGTAATCCAGAACGGCAGCTACTTTGCTTTGCAAAAAAGAAATCTTGGGATTCGGTCATGATTTGATGTCTGAATATTTACAGTAATATCGTGTTTTTGCAGTCGTTGGAAAACAAGGTTCAGATGCTGGAGACGACATTCTCCTTCCAAAATTGCGATTATACATTCATCTACATATGCACCTACGAAGTTAAGACTTAAAAAGACGTCACCGACGAATCTCTGCAAAATCTGTACAGCGTCGCTTAAACCGAAATGCCTAAGCAAAAATCCGTAGAGTCCGAAGGGAGCAATGAAAGAGGTTTTACGAATATCATCAGCAGCCACAGGAATTTAGCTATAGGCGTTAGCCAAATTAATTTTCGAAAACACTGTCGTACCTTCTTAGACAGCTGTCAAATCGTGAATTTACTGCGACGGCGAATGATCAAGAATGGCTTCCGCCTTCAGTCACCGGTAATCAGCGGTTGTAGTCCTGTCATTGCTGTTCATTTACAAGACCACGTGCGAGAGAGATGTTCATGGACTGTTCGATGGCCTTATGATTCTCAAGTATATCACGTGGACAAATCGGTTCTCGTCCAAGCTTAGCTGGCTACACACAGTAATTCTTATCGCTTTTGGTACAGATCAAGGTACTTATTGAGTAACTGTTGATAAAATGGGCCGATTATGTACTCAACAGTGACAAGGGATAATCTGCACCCGGAACAGGGAGCTACACAAACGGATAAATTAGCACTTCGGTCTACTAAGTTCTGTTTCTTGCGTCGGTAAGCAGATTGTGGTGTTGTAGCAGGTCTATACCAGTGTTTGGCATAGAAACATCTGTAACAAAGGGTTTGTGTAAACACATGTCAAACTGAACATATCTCTTACCATAAACGCAATCAATTTTCCATTAGCCGCCTGTAAGTTGAAAACTGGTTCGTACGGTCGGTCGTTAGAATTCGCTGAAAGAACGCTAACTTTTGCATCAGTGTCGACGAGGTTGTGAACTTTCACCATCTAGTCACTGGTCTGTGTCGGAAGGCTATGTTCACTTGTCACGGTTCCCGCTAGCTCGTACCGGCGGGGAAGTTTCCTAAAATGTTTTTCTTGTCAGATGGTCCTGAGCTTGAGAAACTGTAAATTCTAGAGGACCTACCATATTTATTGTGGTACCAGCGTCACAAAGCAGTATCTATCTCCTTTTTTCTGGAGACAGATCTTCGTGACGAGTTTCTCTGAGGAGTTCGGAAGTGTCTACAATTATGATGAGCATTAGAGCGACGAGTAAGAGTGTGACAGAGACATGTGGCGTCATTTTTTGTTGTTTGAAGATTTTCTTTGAAATAATAAACCTCACCACTGAAGGTCATGATGATCTCCAGGATCCGGTCGACAGATGCAGCCAGTTCATCTATGGCGTTATCTTGAAACGAGACAGGGACTGCCTGCACCTCTTGGTGAGGCTTAGACAAGAAGAGCTGTATGAACAGGCCTTCATCAACAGTCTGTCGATCAGTGACCTCTCTCATTTGCAGCAATATTTCTGTTCCTGAGCCACGTTGCAACTTGATGCTGTGGAAGTTTGTCTAGCCTTTGTCAGTTGGTTAGATCTCCAAGCCTAAGGATTGTAGAATTATGGTCTACTATGATATTAGTACTGCTCTAATAATAGACCTAATCCTAAAATTGTAGATTTGTCATGATATAACTGCCTAATCTATAAGATCTTACGTGGAAGTCACACCATCGACTACACCAACTCACTGTATCGTATCAATTACCAATATATGATGTAGAACAAGGTTAGGCTAGAGAAAGAACAATATATTTAATATGAATAGGAGATATAAGATAACATCCAGCAGGGACCACGCCTGCATGGCCGAGCCATGCCACCCGATCAACTCAGTCCATTCAATTCATTCTTCGCGCCTTCTCCATTGTTAGGTATTTATCCGCGTTAAATATTGAATATCTATTTCCTGAGTAGTCTCGTGTTCAGCTTTGTGGATTGTGCGGTTATTGTCCAATGCCACTACAGGATAATGTCTTTTAGAATTTCTTAAGTTTCGGAAACACCACTAGTAGACATACTGTGTGCGGCGTACTTGTTGAAATTGCGCGGTAGTGACTTCACTACTGCTAGGGATTGTGCACGTGGTTCTGTCACGCCGTGCTTTTGGAAGTCATTTTCTGCGTAGCAGGACCAGGCTTGAATATTGTTAGACCGAAACGTCATTATCTGAAATGAAGGAGGCGAAAGAGTCTTTATCTTAAATAACTAAGGAGTCAGTTTCGCCATGATAAATATAAAGTATACAAATGAAGGAGAAAAATGTATCCAAAAGTTCAAAACATCATCACAATATGTAAAAGATAACGATTAAGAAATAATATATAAGGTTCCGACAAGTAACAGACTGACAGTTCACAAAAATAAATGTATCAGATTACGTAGAACTCACCACTGAAGGTCCCAAAAGTACTGAGTTTGAGAACACGTTTACACGTAACACCCTTATGTTGGAAGTATGTCAACTTATTCAAATCGGAAGTTAGAAATGAAGGGTTTTTAGTGGCCCGTGATCTGACCCCAAGTAGATCGCATGAATGATTGTTATTGAAATATATTTGTCGCCTATCCTCGTATATAATCATTGACTTAAATCGCGTTAGTCAATAGCGGGAAACGTTTGATCTATTCTGGTTAACAGTTGTGTAGCACGATGTACGCATGCGTGATCTTGTGAGAATGTGCGACCGAGTACCTTCAGCTGGGTGAGCTCAGTAAAACTAATGAGGTCAGTATCAACTGTTGAACACTTATAATGCTTGTGATTGTGATGACTTCTTTTAACGATTCACATAGGGTGCTACATGGATACATCAGTGATCTATTGCTACCATATACGAAAGTCTGTTCGTCCTCAAGAATAGGTCAAGTTGCCTCTTGAAGGACTCCTGAGAAGTCGCTTGGACTAGCTCGGCCGGCAGTGAGTTCCAGCATTTGACAACTCTTAAGGAATAAAAGTTATGTCTATATTCCGTTTTGCTATGTTGTGTCTCCACTTTCGGGGTGTTAACCCTTAGGTTAGTGTTCAAACTAAGCTTAAGTAGGTGTTTAAGGGGATGTCCAGAAGGGTTAAGAATACTATAAGCCATCAATAAATCACTTCTAAGACGCCTATACTCTAATGGGTAAAGGTCTAGTGAATGGAGGCGTTCTTCGTAAGGTTTGGATTTGAGTCCTCGAATTGATTTCGTGGCTCGTCGTTGGATACGCTCCAAAGTGACCTTGTCCTTTTGGAGTGAGGGGGGAGTACTATGTTTCCGTACTCTAAATGGAGACGGATGAAGCTATTGAAGATTATATGAAAAGTTTTCTCGTCGAACTGTCCAAAAATGCGCTTCAGCGTTACCAGCGCAAGGTTCGCTCGGAAGGCATTTTTGTCACAGTTAGCGTAAGACTTTAAATCATGGGGCACCAGGACTCCTCAATCTTTTTCTACTTGAGATACTACTAGAGAGGAGTTTCCTGAGTTATAACTGTAGTCTGCGACATGTCGCAGATGGACTACTTTGCACTTTGAAGTGTTAAAAGTAAGTCCATTATTATCTGCCCGACTTCGGAGTCGAGTCAGATCCTCCTGAAGTGCCTGTGTATCGTCTTGCGTGAGAGCCTTTTCAATTCCATTGCGAACCATTTGAACTACATGAAATAATTCTAATCATATAAATTATAGGCTCCAGTTTTGAGTATTACAAACCAATTAAGCAATGTAAGTAAAAACACGAGTATTAAAACCTTTTTCATAGCTAGGAGAATAATCTGAAAATTTAGCTCCTGTTAGGAGTCGCAATCGGCCTTGAAAGTTTTACTTAATATTCGAACAAGTGATTTGTTTCGTTACCATAGTTTGAATGAGTGTCGAACGTAGTGTCCTGAAGAAGCGTCTAGAGCGCAGGCTTGACCGTTTAACTAGAAGCTGTCAACATGCAACTCAGGAGGTATTTTCTTCATCCTAAAACTCAGTTACTCTAAATTAGCTATCATTTCTTCTTAGAGATTTCACAAAGTATATTGAGCGGCATATTGATAATTCCCCGTCGGATTTTTCTACTAGTGATAGGATGTCAAATATGGTCTTAGTATCCGAAATAATAATTGAAGATCTTTTTAATCTATTGTCTAAGTATCACCATGCATCAGAGAACATCCTGAAGACGTGCACGCAAGCCCACCAACCAGTAAGGTTTTTTTTCATTTTGATAGAATAAACAGCAATTTCACATATAAGTAGAATTTTTTATGCCCAGCATGTATAGATGAAAGTGGTCGTCGAATTCCCATAGGCGGAAGTTCAATTAAATTCAAATCTTACTGAAGTCCTTAATCCCATCATTAAAATTTGTGTAATTTTAGGCGAAATTTGAGGACAGTTGTATTGGAAATCTTAAGGATATGTATCCGAAATACTATAATTCATCCGGGCGTGGGATTTTTATCGAAATAATCAGCAGACCCACGCAACATTTTCACGTACATTGCGAAAACGCAGTGAATCACTGACAGAAAATTCTAGTGATTACTACATTTTGATTGTCGTCCTAGAATTTGCCTATGTCTGTGATTTTTCTTTCACGATTAATTGTCCTGGGTCTAAAACTTTTGTTGAAGTGACTTGATTTTCCTGCGAAATCTCGAGATGTTGAGTGATTCTGGGATTTCTACCCACAATAGTTGCAGAATATGCCGTTAATCAACTCTCAGAATTGACCGATGATCTGAACAGAAATCCCGTTTTCTAAAAATTTCCATCTTTTTTGAAACTTAATTTTCCCATAGTTACTACAGTCAAAATTAGCCTAAGCTCATAACATACTTGTTTAGTACCACCTACCAAACTGTTTCTCACCAAACAAACTGACATCGTCCAGTTAAATGTCACGAAAATAGTCTTTCTAATCACTCTAGAATTTTCTATCAGTGATTTACAGCATCCTCGCAAGGTATGTGAAAATGTTGCGTAGTTTTGCTGATTATTTTGGTAAAAATCCCAAACCTGGGATGCATATGTTTTACTACATCATTATTTCAACTCTTTCTGAAGTTTGGTTACGTCATTTTTATTTTTCATTAATTCATATCTTACTGATTTCACTTCAAATCTTTATTACCATTAATCGGTTTTTAACTTACTTTATTACATAATCGTCTCATGTCTGTTAAATCTACAAGTTCTAATCACTGGAATTTTCTCGCTCAAACTAGTTACACTATATATATACACTATTTCCAAAATAGTAAAGCAGGGTCTATATATCAGGTATTGTGGTGAAGAGCCAAATAATATAACACATTAGTCGTTTACTCCAGCACTGCCATTTTAAGCAAATCTCTTGATGCTTCTGATTTATTAAATATTCCTACTTCGTGTAAAGTATGTAATCTTGATAGATCAGCGTACAATTACCATCTCGTTCTCGCCGCCTATTTAACCAGGTATTAGGTGTATAATTAACTTTGTTTTCGTGTTTATGATAGTTTAGTAACGATAGCCGTATTTTGACACCTTTTTAACAAAATTTGTCCTGAGCTCCAGTAGATGTACATTTTACGAATAACTTAAAATGCATTTAAGATTTCATAATTGGATTCCATATATTTTATTTTGGGTAAAAAGTGCCTAGAGGCTCCCAGTCCTGTTGTATGGTTTCGAATTATAATATGGTAAACATTAATGTACTAAAGGAATCAAAATAAACGAATATAATGCGGATCAACAAATGAACTTCAGTGATAAGATTTAGCCGATTCATGAATGGTCGTAAGAGTTATTGATGTAAACACTTGAATATGCTGAAAGCATGGACACAATATAAGTAGGTCTTTTACCTAATAAAATATAAAATTCACTCAGTACCTGGGTATGAGACACACTATGTGCGAACTAATGATACTAGACGGCTGCCTAAAACGAAATAAGTAGGGTGGAGTCCAAGCTTGGGACTCACTCAGTCAGTCAGTCAGTAACAACGTAAAACTTCGTACGTACGTACATCAGTTCGAGTTGCTACACCACATTAGCACAGAGATTCAGTTGTCGATTCAAATCCCGTAGTGGTAGAGGTAATAAGAGTATAAGCAGTAATCGGGAAGATTAGTGTTTGGAGATGTTACTTAAAGAGTATAATCCAGTGAAATAAATTTGGAAAGAGGAAAAAAGGGACATGAATAATTCAGAAGATTAGAATTTCGGAGAACACAGAGAGTGGATGCACCTGCGCCATTGCAAACGATTTTGAGCCATGTCATTCAGGGTCTCTAACCATCGGTTGCTAACATCTCGCGGTCCCCAACCAGGTAGTCTACACCTACCAACATGACTCAGTCCACTTGTCAGTGACTTCATGGACTTGTGCCATGTTTTGGTCTGGCCGCCCCTAGCTTTCTTCCAACCTACTCCTATACCACTGAGCATTGCACGTCGAGGCAGTCGGTCGTTGGGCATACGTAACACGTGTCCAAGCCATCTCAACTGATGAAGTTTCACTACGTCATCAATTGATTTGCCATCCTTACCTAGTACCCGTTTCCTAACAACTGCATTACTTACTCGATGGTTCCACGATATACGAGCAATATTTCGAAGACACCTATGATCGAATACTAGTAACCTACGAATATCCTCTACTCTTACCGGCCATGTTTCACTGCCATAAAGTAGGACGGAACGAACTGCTGCGCAGTAAACCCGTCCTTTGGTTGATAGACGGATATCTCGCCTACGCCATAAATGACGCAAGTTGGCAAAAGCTAGTCGAGCCTTCTGTATCCGTGCTGAGATTTCGTCACACACCAGACCACAAGGGCTGATGAGACTTCCAAGATAAGTGAAGCGGTCGACACGCTCAATTACTTCACTCCCTATGATTAGTTCGGGTGTCGATGAAACCCAATCCTGAAGCAACATTTTGCATTTCGAGGGAGAGAATCGCATCCCGAACATGCTTGCATTGTTGCTTAGAGTGGTCAGAAGACTCTGCATTTTGTCAGCGTCTTCGCCAAATAAAACTATGTCATCAGCATATTCTAAGTCAACAAGTGAACCTCCCGGTAGAAGTTCAACCCCTGTAAATTTAGATGAGGAGAGTGTTATCTCTAAAAGTACGTCAATGACAAAGTTGAACAAGAATGGGGAGAGTGGACAGCCCTGACGAACACCACTTGAGGTAATCAATTCTGATGACAGTTCGCCATAAGCTCTCACTCACTGGCTGGACGTCAAACACCCTAACCACTAAGCCACCGATTCACTCATCTAATAAAATAATGTATTTGTGGGCAAAACGTTAACAGAAATAGACAATTACCCTAATACGGCCGAGGGTGAAATGAGTCAGCTCTCCCACTCGAAATCAGTCAGCAACAATGTAGAACTTCGTACGTACGTACATCAGTTCTAGCTGCCATACCCTCTCAAAATGCTCTCACATGGCCATGTGTATACAACCACTGCCAGGGAAGTCCTACTCACTGCCTTCTCGCTGCGAGGGTGTTGTTTACGAAATCGAGAGGACAAAAAGCGAATATCCCGCACTTTAACCGGGTTGATGGATATGGAGGACCCACCTAGGGGAGTTGGAAAACCCTGATTCCGAACCGGTAGTGCATATGGGCTCCAGTATCCTGAGGAAACAAATGGCGTATGAACCCATTGTTGGTCACTGGCTACCATGGGTCTGCATCTCTTGACGTTGCTCCACTGCCTTGTGGATCAGACCTTCAGGTCGAAGGCTCTAGGTGTGGCCTCCCTTAGAAAAACACATGCCCCGGTCTAGGCATCCGAGCAGTACCAGAGCCCACACACAAATCAAGTGACTTGTGTAGTGAATATGTATTCGGTGCCCCATTTGTACCAATATTTATGTTCAAATAAATAGGATAGAAAATGTCAACCTCGCAGGTTACGTACTTAGCAATAACTGTTAGGCTTATTATTATTATTATTATTATTATTATTATTATTATTATTATTATTATTATTTATTTGAACACATGAATATTGGTACAAGAGAGCTTAGTTCCCTCCAATTACATAAGTTAGTTTTTAGATTAACGACTAGGTAGTCAAGTCGAAAGCACTTTCCTTTGTCTTCATAGCTTATGTGTCCTGACACCAAGCGGTGGATAAAACCTGGGATGTCAGTCTTCGATTTTTGTACGTAAGTATTGTTAGGACGGTAGAATTTATCACAGCTTCATGTCATCATATTCCTTGTTGTTAGAAATTCGATAATCAATCTCTGAATTAAAATGATCATAATACGTTTCGTCTTTCTAATGGTAGTTTGGGTATTTCGATTTATGGACAAGATTTACTATCTTCTGAGGATATGTTTTTCAACGCTGCAAATCTAGGCTACCATCAGCCTGTTTTTAATGTTCATTTAAAGCGGTATTTAATTGAAAATTGCTTTTTCCAAGATTGATTCTTCAGATATCAGCTTACTGTGTAATTATGACCTCACCAAAGATTCTGTTGAAAAGTGCTTGGATCAACCGCTTGACGAAAAATACTCCATAGAACATCTATATAGCCGTACGCGACTCCTTTACATGCTAGAAACAAGCTTTGGATTGCAGGAAGCGGGTCTTATATCTCAAATTTCGTATCTGAAAGGGATATGTACGTAAGTAATACTTTCTGACCTAAAACTTTCAGAACTATTACTTGACTACATTCTCACAGAATCGACCATATCTCAGTAATATATATATATATATATATATATATTCCAAGATTTCTGTGTTGTTCTATTCACATCTTGTTGTCTAATATCGTCTGACCATAATTTCTAGCTATTAAATTTGTTTTGGTAATTGTCCGGATATCAATACATCCCAGTATCATGCCCTAAGTATCTGTCAATAATCTTTTAATTTTTCATCCCACAACTGTTTAGTAACAATATACAGATTTCATGTCACATAAGTCTATGACTCAGCTGACTTAAGTATTGATTTATAATTTTCCAAATCTCTAGGATGCATAGATCCTAGTGCCGTTGTAGAGATAAGTCGAGTATACATCATTACCAACCAGTATTTTTATTGTCAGTGTAATGAATCCATGTTCAATCTTGTGACCTCACCTCACTTTTAGCTGTAAAAATTATATCAATAATTCCGAAAGATTTTTTCTTATTTAAAAGTTCGAGTCTAAGCACGACTTGGGACTAGTTGTCAATGTGAAAGCCATATTTCACCAAAAATGTCTTGTAAGTCGTCGTAATGTGGACACCGGAATTTCAACTACTGGGTTAGAGTACATAGCCTCAACTCAAGTAATGGGAATAATATCTCCAGCTACATAGAGTAATCATGGCTCACAGTCTAATGTACACGAACCTATACTTGTTTACTAATTTACATAATAGCAACACTGCATTTAGTTAACGAATTCAGATCCATACTCGATCCCGTTACATAGAAGTATTCACCTCGATTTCAATACTCTATATTCATTCGCAGTAATAGGTTTTCTCCGAATCTGTTTTTTTAACTAGAACAAGGGGAGAAATATCACCAGATATCACCGAAGAATATTTAAGGGAGCTAGAAGTAGAATGTACCAAATTAACCTCAGAATTAGCTACTTTAAATCAGCTGGAGGTTATTCAAGTTCAATCAAGAAATAAATTGGTTGAAAAGCAGAACCAATTAAAACATATGAATGATGTAAGTTAATCTCCATTTTTGTAAGGCATTACTTTGCTATCTGAATAGAAGGCTGATATGATTCTACGTAAAGGAACAGAAAAGGATGAGAAACGGGAGGCGTACCATACACAAAAATAGATCAATAATGACAACCAAGTATTATCGACTTTGATGCTTCATTTACACTGATCAGCAGTCAGATTTAAAGAAAAGTGCTAGGATATCAATTAGTCAACAACTTAAAGTTTCAACACAATCTGTACCGTAGAATTAGATTCCTTTAACTAATAAATGTAACTAGCTTGGTGAGTTGTGTGATCCATCCTTCCTAAAACATTCTTTTTAAAACAGAATTTTCGTTGAGTGATTGGAAATATTTCCCTAACGTATAGTCAGCTACGGATATAGGGATTGCTTATTGGTTATCCATTTACGTTTTGTCATCATATTTTCAAATGTTGCCTTGAATAATCGAATAAATATATGCCTTAAACTAATCCTTATCATAAATTAACGTTACGTTGAATATACATTCTTAGACATTTAAGTTTCTGTAATTACACTGAACTCTGTTATAAAAAATTGTTCATGCTCTGTGGCGGTACTTCATTCCCTATCAGAAAGCAGTTACTGTATACTAATCTGTTATTTCTTGATATTTGTCTATTGTTCTCTATGTTGTGCTTATATAACATATACGCAGTTCAGACGGTAACAATACAAATAAAACTGTAACATGGTGAACAAAAAAGTCATTACAAACAGTGGAACATATACAGAAGTTATAAAGTGTTTACTGGAGTAGTTGATAATAGTGACAATTAATATACAAGGCAGAAAATTTATGATTAAGCTATTCATTTTTTTAACAATTGGAGCATATTTCAAAACTTTAATCATGTCTTCTTAGTTGTATTGTTTTTTCTCACATCATATGTAACTCATAACCTAACACAATTATTTGAACTATGCTTTTCGTTCTGAATTTCAAGTATTACTGTTTTGTTATGATTGAAAGGATTGATCATGTTTGAATGATAAGAAAGGAGGTAGTGACTACGTGATCAGAGAACTTGGTTTTAAACGAGTAGGTTGCAGGTTTGAACCCCACTTTGTAACCGGGTAGTATCACCAGTTGTCACATAAAACAATATTTCTCAAAACCGAGTAGCAAAAACTACTTTGTATGTTGGATAGGTTGATAATGCCTGCATTTAAATTCCAAAAAGGATTGTCTTTCTAGTGTAAATTTATTTCATACTTGGAAATCCTTTACTGATTTCCATCACCAGTTTTCACTATATTAAAACATTATTGATGTTTGTTGTATAATGATAATCTATCCTCCTCTTTATAGGTTGAAGGGATTCTTCGTCAAGAAAATTCATGGTTAAGATTTTTGACAAATATAGTTGATTTGGAACATGATTCTTGTAAACAAGCCTTAAAAGAATTGATTTCTATTTCCCAATCACTTCATACTCTCAAGGATTATAGTGTTCAGGTAAAATGCATTTGTATTTGAAATGACTTATTTATCGATAACTCATATTTTCAGGGGTTTTTCGTCTACTGTTTTAGTACTTTTGTAAATTGTGGCCTTTAAAACTAGAGATTCTTACGTTAATAGTATTCGGTCATAAATTTCAACGAAGCACTGCTCGTGTATCTTTGGGCCATCGAATAAACAATGCTAAAGTTAGACAGGGTACTAGGTTTTGATGGTAAATTGATTGGTGAGGTTGTGAATCTTTATCATTTGAGCTGGTTGAGACATATATTACGTATGCTCAACCATCATCAACCTTGACTGCCGATACTATCTCGTGTAAGAGTAGATTGTATGAAAGCTAGAAGCGGCCAAACTAATAGTTGTCATCAGTCCATAAAGTCTTCAACCGTTGGACTGGGCTATGTATGTAGATTCAAATTATTTGATTAGGTTCCACACAATTATTGTAACTAATGTTTATAAACGACGAATGACATGACTCGAAATCAATCGCAATGGTACTTATGCATTCACCCTTTGTCGTCACTTAGATCTTGAGTCTTAGGGTTACCTTATGCGTTTCTTTTCCTACTGATTAGTAAATATATGCTATACAATACTGTCTTAGTGGTTAAGGCCGTAGATTTTCAGTCACTTAGTCGTCTATCTGAGTTCCACTTCACCTATTTGGGTTTGAACCGGGAAGTAAAATAATCAGTAGCCCGTACACATAAAGCGTTCTGCAAAGCCAGGTACATGAGTCCGTAATTAGTAAAAAAGTGATATCTTTTTATATCCATCTAGCTGTGCTAATGTAAAATGTAGCGTACTGAAATTAATGATGTCTCAGGCTATGACACAGAGTGACGCGAGTCTGAATCCCACAGGGCATGTGAATTTTCTTAAGATATCGGATGCACGTTGCTGATGGGTAGCCATTAGTACAATCCTATATTCAGGGACTCCTGTTAATTGTCTCCATCCACTTAATACATCTGGTCGTCGATAGATTCTAGGCGTAGATAAAGTAAACCTAGAATCCTAGTTGAATCGATCTCAAAATATATTACTTGTGGTTAACCAACAAATTAAAAGTAGTTTTGCTTTAAAACAGGTACCATATGAAGGATAATTTAGAATTGGTAAGCAATGGATTGCTGTTCAGTCTTAGTATGGAGCTTCTCAGTAGTTCATAATTAGCGACCCTGTATGAAGAAGAGCTTAAGATGGTTAACTATTTGAGTAAATAAATTTTATTCAGCCACTTTTTCATACTGCAATAGTCTACAATACAAAATTCATTCATATTACGACATGGGATTTAAATGACGCAACTGCTATCGTTTCTCATGGATCAAAGTTCAGTAAAGGTAAAAGTTACCAAAGAACGAAGGGAGCTGGGGTTAAAACCATCATGCCAAACTGTTCCCGTTTTCTAGACACAACTTCATTCTCATTTGATTTATTTCGTTCTTTATGATCAAGTAGTATCTACACGAGAAAATTTTCAATCTCATGCTGTCTACTTAAAGCATATTTTTATTCACTGAATATTTAGCTTCTTGAGAAATCAGCTAGCTTATATCAATCAGACGATCTGATAGAATGTGATGAATCAGTTAGGAATGATGTCTCAAAACATTTCGAAGATGCTGTTATTCATCTGCTACTAAGTAAGTTTATTTTACCTACAATTATCCTTAATATTTTTACATGATTTGTTTTGATTTTATCTAATATTAAGTAGATGTATGGATTGCTCACATTGTGCTCCAGTAACCGGTTCAAGTTAGAAAACGTCTTAGAGAAACAAATGTCCTACTGATTATTTTATCAGTAGCATATTTATAAACGGCAACATTTATCAGGCTAATTCTTAGCGATTGTTTTAAGCTAACTTTTCATTACTTGTTTTAATCAGTTGATTAAATTATGAAATATAAAATATGTAGTGAGATTAAAATGATGCGTATTGATTTTATTGGTTGGTGTAGCTTTCATGAAAGTTGTCTTGATGCTACTTACAATATGAAACGAAAAATTGTGGTTTCCAAAACTCATCTCAGTGTGATTTAAAAATTACATCTCATTTATTATATCATTTCCATTACAAATCTTGGATTCCTTCCACCATCTACTTACTTTAACAATGTTAATTAAGCATATGACCAAAGAAAGTCACCTAAAAATTGTTTTTGTTGAAGTGACTCCTGTCAAGTTTATCACTTTTAAACAGTCATTGATTTCGTCTTTTTCCCTAAATATTTATACTTTTATGTCCCAAACTCCAGATTTATCTTAATTTATTGGACTGTTGTCTGTGTACAAACAATCGTAGTAAGCCTTCAAAGTAAATTATCACTAATATTTACTTATTATAATAGATTATTAAAATTCTTATTCTTATTAATTTTTATTAAGAGATAGGATAATACTAAAACATTTCAAATCAGGTAATTTAACCAATAGTTATTTTACACATGATAGACATCAGAATTCCATTTCATGTTAATATCCGTTAGGAATGTTTATCTCAGGACAATTTTAAGCTGTTTCTAATGTGTTTATCACATGGTTATTAATTAACACGTTTAGAATTATTGATTGTTGTAAAATTTTAATCTTAAGGCTGACTATAATAAGAGCTAACTACAAATATTATTAATTTAATATATTGATAGATAACTATCGCGTGGTGTAATTAGCCTGTCAAAATTATTTTATGATTGTAAATACGTATTTGAACACGCGTCATTTATGGAAACATGCCGACTAGTTAGCAGTTATTCAATGTCTAATTAGGTTTGTTCCTTAAATTTCTTTTCACTAATTATCTTTACACATTGAATCTTAACGCATAAGTTGAATATTGTTTTAATAAATGACATAAATCGACTATGATTATCATCCCGGAGACTTGCGCATTCCACATTATTGAGTGGAAAAAGAGGAGAGGCTGTCGTTCTTTTAACATGCTGCTTTGGTATAAAGTATGGCTATTGTGGAGTGGCATCTGTTTGTTTCCATGACTTCTTAGCTGGGGTTCTGAAGGTCGTGCCACTTAGTGCCCTAGAATGGGTCATGATAAAATTCGGTATAGATCCTTCTGAAATTTCTTACCACATACTTTTTAATGCGAGGTGGTCTCTCTTAGCTGAAAGAAGTCCTTCTTGACTGTATCTTAAACTGCACTGTATCTTTTAGTAAGTATGATTGTTCGCCATTTATCTATAGATTACACGGTCCTTCCCTCTTTTACTTCATGATATTATTACTTAATTTGTATGGCACATTTTTTATCACTATTGCACCGGAATTTCCGTAACGCAAATAAGTAAAAACCTCTTGTAATTGGGGAACCCTACTCTTTCCTATTTTAAATTGCACTAGTACTCTAGTTTGTTTTACTAGACTGGGAACAATACTAGTGCCAAGTAAACATGTTTAATCACAATATGCAGAGATAAATGATATTAAAGCAAACTGATAGATAATTCAAGTTTGCTATCTTCAGGATCTCTTACGCCTTATAATGTTACCTTAACTTAAAAATCAATTAATCGACGTGTTCATACATATTAGCTCGTCAAATTGTAGTGCAACAGACGTATATGTCGGTGAACCTTATAGGTAAGAATGTCCACTATCTTCGATATGTTTTACATCTCCAAAGTTTACTTTTTTTATATAGTAACACATGTGTGTTGATTTCCATTTAAATATTTCAAACTCATAGTAATAAAATCTACAAATAAATTCTGAGACACGCTTGAATATGAGTTACAATGGTAAGTACAAATACTTTCTCAATCAGTTTACCGGTTGGTGTCACTTAGATATCTATCTACTCTTTATTACTGATGTCCGACTTACACATAATTCGGGTTCTTATCAGTTAAATATACAGAATCAGAATTAAGTAAAAGGTTTTCAAAATGAAATATCATCTAATTACACTAGTACTAGTAAGCTTTGCATGTGAGATTCTTTTTCTTTGCTTGTTTTTTAAAAATTGAAAACTGTCATAGAAATATGGGATTGATAACCTATAAAAGAAATAAGACCTATCGTGAATATATATCTATCTATCCAAGGTGCACAGCCGTAAGAAATCAGTGACAGAAACGTAATGAGTGAAAATAATTTCAACAATAGTTAAAATTTGACAGGACGACAAAGTCATCAAAAACATTTAAGAGTCGGAAATCAAAAGTTTAACATATTACAGTATATATAACTTGATGAATATTGAAAGCGAATAAATTAGCACAGTCAAAAACGAATCCTGGTTTTATCATTCTTGAGTAATTAATTCAGTTGTCTCAGTCAGAAAAAATTAAATCTAATTCAGATCTACGATGTTTTGTGCGTGCTCGGATCACCCGTTTATAAGACTATTCTTTTGTTACTACTCTATAGTAAAATAAAAGTTTTTCGTATGTTTTTTCCTGAAGTCTTGTAAATTTCCCTTTACTTTTCCGCTTCTATTTCTAGCCTCTCCATTGCCACCTGAGCTTTCCGAAAAGCTTAAAACAACCGAAAATCGTTCAGAAACCATCCTTGATATTCTACGTTCTCTAAAATCTAGATTGGTATCATCCCAAGATTCCATTAAGATTGAATCAGAGAAACTGGATAAATGTATACAGCAAATGTATGTCTTTGTGTATAGTTATATTTCTGAAATATTTAAATTTGTTAACTTGCTGAAGTCCATAACAATTATTAGTATAGTAATAATTTTCAAAACATATAAGACAGAATATTTATGCCTGAATGTTAAGCCTTTTTGGAACTTATTCTAATTTAAATATATTGATATTAGGATGTACTTGTTACTAAAATTAAACTTTATGAGATGGTGGAGATTTGTAGCTCAGGTGGATGATTTTGCTGGAGTTTTGTTCTCTGAGCTGGATGGTTTGGACCAAAATTAAACTTTATACTTTAGCTATTAGTAGGTTATTGTTGATGAAAATCCAGTCAAATTGAATAGCTTTATGTTGTTCAGTATTGAGTATTAATTCGATTATATAGACTAGTTAAGAAAATAATTGAAATATATTTGGGTTTAGTTAAAAAGTTACATCTTACCATTTTTAACTACAACAGAATTACTATTGATATCTATTTAATCTCATTGGGTTGCATATTCTGTAGGACATCATACGTGTGATAAATCAATAAATTATAATTCAATAAAACAATCTACCACTTGAAGGTGCTATTTTCATTTCTTAATAAATTCTTTACTTTTTTCCACTTAGCTCAAGCACATCTATATAATACTCGATATGATAATCACTAAGGCAGTATTCGTAAACATGCCTAAACTACTAATGTGCATTCGTTTCTTAGTGGCCACATTTCAGGAGTTTAAACTACAATATACGCACTAGCATTTGAATGACTGATTATATTATTAGTCTTTACACAATAGTTGTGGTTTGTAAACGAATAATCAAACCTATTTGTTTTAAACAAACTACACCCCTTACTTGTTCTCGTAAAGAAAAAGTGTGTGGTCGTGTAAATGATCATACTTGTGTGGCCACTTGATTTTGTTTACATTTTTTGATATTGCTGATAGGTACAGATTTTGGTTCATTTATTAGGTGTAAAACCTTTTGTAATAAACTATGCTGATTCACGCATATATTGGTTGTTTGAATCTTTCCATTATTGTTTAGGACTGCAGTCAATCAGTTTCGTTTTGACATATGTGCATCCTGTGCGGATTGCTTGGTTATTGCCATTAAGTTAGAGGCAGAGATGTGTAGTGTCTGACAAATCCAAAATAAGACGGAACGTTCGTTTAAGGTTCTGCTACTACCTACCATCCATCTTTGCTTGAAACTATAGTGATTTTTCCTATTATTTTCTTTACAAATTCCTCCTTTTCATATTCTTCCTATGTTCTTGTCTTTAACTTAACATTCCACTAGATAATGCTCGATTCGAAATTTCTTTATCTTATTGGTAATTAGATCCTGTCAGTTAATTATACAAAAATTTATATACACTATTGTGCTAGTTAGGCAACCAAACAGTATTTTCTATTTTTGTCGGTTTGCTTTTATTAGTATTGTTGTTTTTAGTATATTCGTGTATTTGCCATCAGTTGTAATCCAAGCATACTCAGGTGATTTAATAAAATATCTCATTTGTCTTTTCATATTATTTGTCCTCTTTATTTTCTAGTGTATAAATGTACATCTATCAAACAGACTTATTTCAACTGGTCAATAAATAAAATTACATATTGTGTTATAATATCATTATAACATTTTTTGATAGATTTGTCATAATATTCTGAAAATTAAAAGGAAGTATTATATCTTGGGCGTTTTCCTTAGCTATACGCCCTACTTAACTTTGAAGTGACTATACCTGCTTTTGTCTAGTTGTATTGTGGAGTAGTAGTCACGACATTCTATTACTAAATGAGGGATTTGAATTTTATCCTACTTTTTAAAACATGATTGCCTAGGTCCGTATCACTAATCGTCCGACAAAAGTTGTAATCCACAGCGTATGACACCTAACCGCACCCACTTCTAACAGTTTCTTTCAAAACTGTTTTATCTCTCAAGGTGACACTCACCGTCTTAGTATGTGTTTGGAAATGGTCAAGTTTAGTACTCTGACAAAATAGAATATGTTTATATTCACATCCTACATACTGGTTATTGCAACCCGCTTTTTCTAGTTACTCAGAGGCACTTAAATTTTATTCATTTATTTGTTTTAACACATTGATATTGGTACAAGGAGGCACCAAATACATATGCGCCACACAGATCTCATTTGATATGTGTGAGGGCTGCGATACTGCCCGGGTGCCCAAACCGAAACGAGTGGTTTTCTTAGGGGGCCACACCCGGAGCCTTCGACCCGAAGGTCTGATTCACAAGGCAGTGGAGCATCGTAAGGAGATGCAGTCACATGGTAGCCGGTGACCAACGATTGGTTCATACGCCATTTGTTCCCTCAGGATACTGGAGCCCATGTGCACCATTGGTTTGGAATCAGGATTTTTCAACTCCCCTAGGTAGACTCTCCATATCCACCAGCCCGGTTAAAGTGTCAGACATTCGTTTTTCGTCCTCTCAATTTGGTAAACAACACCTCTGCCACGAGAAAGTAGTGAGTAGGACTTCCTTGGCAGAGGCTATATACGCGTGGCCATGTGAGAGCATTTCGAGCGGGAGAGCGGACTCTCCCAACTCTCGGCCGTACCAGGGCATTTGGGGGCTATATTACAAAATGATGTGATTATTTGTTTATTGTTTTGGAAAATATTCATTCACGAGACTTCTGTGTGAAAATTGTAAAGAAATGTTTATCTCATTATTAAGACAGATTATTATATTAAGGAGGAAGAGTGTATTTGTAAAATCTCAGCGAATGAATTTGAAGTAAACCCAACGTTTCGCTCGGGAATCTTATCTAAGCTTCCTCAAGGATATATATGTCATACATCAACTCGGCCCTCAAATACTGTGAAACCATTCGTTCAATTTAAACTAAAGTTCTTACAGATTATTATTATTAATCCATAGAATAATAGAAAGAGATTACATCATGAAGTGATCCGAGATTTTAAACATCAAAAAAAGGTTGAGTAAGAATCGAAATGTTATACAAAATAGAATATGTAAATGAAAATAATATACGGATCAGAAATAGAAAAGATAAAATGTAAATACAAATTCATAGCTTAATTAAATGTTTTCGTCAAAAAGAACATTTTCTTCATTGATTCCTTCTCATTTCTATTCTAATCATTATTACAAAATAGATTATATTCATTTATTTTTACAAAAAGGAGACCAATATCCATTTGGCTATCATTTAACTATTTTAAAATAATCACATTATGATAATTACTTACTATTTATTATACTTTTGACCTTCAATCTTTTCTATATTGTTTTAAAAAGTACTAACAACTAATATATAAACATACCATACAAATAAAAAAGTCATATTCTATTCTTAATTAGTTCACATGATTGTTATTGAAAATGTACATAAATTTGCCGTGGAATCACTTAGTTTCATCGTAATCTTTATTTTTATGATTTAAACATAGTAAAGACTATGTATCTATTTGTTTATAAATATGATTGGTCAGTTAATGAGTCGATAAATGATACAGTATATTTAATAGTTAAGATTTATGAGTCAATTGAAGCTAAACCACCATGAAAAACCTGGAGACACTGAACGGCCGTTTCGTTCCATTGTGTAACTCTTCAGCAGTGGACATTCACAATCCTACCTCGGTTCAGTGGTCTAGTGGTTAAGCGCTCACACGCGAGATTGATAAGTCCTGGGTTGGAATCTCGCGACCATTAAACTTTCTATAATATCCGCAAAAAACCCTTCTGATACAGTATTTATTAAAAAAGAATGAAGGTATATGTTTCAGCAAAGAAAATATTTTCTGCTAAATGGTTCCTTTGAAGCTGTTCAATAATTTTCTATTACTTTAATAAATATTACTACACTACTTCATTTTCATAGATTTTTAGATCCGATGCTTGAATAATTTTGACTGTGTGTTTTTCTTCACTCAACTTGTCTTTTTAAAGTTTGACTGTATTTGGTAATTTTATAACATTAATCTATTGTACAGATTAAGAAACTGATACCGTCTAAAAGAAAACTTTCTTTGCTGAAATGTCGCCATTCTTTCTGATGGATCAGTAGGTTTCTTTTATTTTTGTGTGGTTTAGTATGTATTAAAACTTTACTTCAGATTTTACGATAATTAAACTACTGTGCGACAATTTAAGATTCTATAAGGTATATCAATCGAGTATAAGCGAAACCAATTGCTATTCGACTACAGTTGTGTACTACGTAAACAGAAATGAGGAAATATAGAGATGACAAAACAACATCAGATCTGTAATCTTGTGGTCACTGTTAGTGTTATTACATGTAATCCCTCTTCCTTCATATCCTTAGAATGTCATTTTTATTTTTTGCGATGTATAGTCGTTGCCTATATTTATTATCTAATATTTCATTCTTGTTATCTTCATGTTTATTTTAGTCGTAAACAATTACTTGGTTTGAAAGAAACATTCGAGCTTCCGGATTCACTTATTTCATGCGATACACCTTCTCATCTTGAACAACTGAATCCCGATCGTATTCGTTTTTCTTGGAGAGGTCTTTGTTCTACAGAACTTACAGATTTATTTGTTAATACTTGTAAAGATATAAATGATTTAGTTGAACAATTGGATCGCCTGGAACTCGAAGCAGATATTACTTTTCCTCATATATAGTTGTCTTATGTATAGATTTACTTGTGTACGAAATAAAACAAGCTTTTTCATCCCAGTTTATTTCGATCACTTCATGCAAAGAAACTGTAAGCAACTTTATCAACTAACTAGATAGGTGTTTTGATACACGCAGATTATTTCGGAACGATTAAAACTACTTTTTTGTAATGTGGTCAGAGTTCTCATTGTGAACCTTTGTATTGTGACTAAGTGGTACTATGCTGACCTGAAATTACTGGGTTCAATCCCTTGAGTTGGTATTCCAAACTTCCGGTAAGGTTCAATATACTCGACGATTCTGAACATTTCTTCAGTTGATTGTAGATCATTATGAAAACCTTGGACGGAGGGCAAAAGATTGAGTAGCTTTTAAGCCTACAATGCCTCCAAATGTCCTCGTATGGCCAAGAGTGAGGAGGGCCACCTTTCCTCTCGAAATGCTCTCATACGGCCACGCGTGTACAACCTCTGCCAGGGGAGTCCTACTCACTACGAGGGTGTTGTTTACGAAATTGAGAGGACGAAAAACGAATGTCTGACACTTTAACCGGGCTGGTGGATATGGAGAGTCTACCTAGGGGAGTTGAAAAATCCTGATTCCAAACCAATGGTGCACATGGGCTCCAGTATCCTGAGGGAACAAATGGTGTATGAACCAATCGTTGGTCACCGGCTACCATGTGACTGCATCTCCTTACGATGCTCCACTGCCTTGTGAATCAGACCTTCGGGTCGAAGGCTCCGGGTGTGGCCCCCTAAGAAAATCACCTTCTTCGGTTTGGGCACCCGAGCAGTACCACAACCCACACAGATAGAATCAAATGACGACATTTACTGAAAATAGTATTCTCTCCTCGATTAAAAGTCAAACAATTCATGTTATATTATTTATTTGTTACGTCACTTATTCGTTTTCTTTTATTCCCACTTTCTGTGTGTGGCACATATATATGTGGTGCCCCCTTGTACCAATATGTGTTCAAATAAAATAAAATATAAAAAAGCCTACAATCCAACAGATAGTGGTTGTACCTTTAAACCACATAGTTACACTGTATAGTATGAGAGATTTTGTAGACAGCCATTTAATTGGAATCACCAACTGACCTAAGTTAACAACCCTTGAAAGTTTTTTCGTTTAAATATGGGATTTCTCAATTGTGTCCTTCCGTTGAACATAAATTTGCGAGTTTTTCAAGCGTGGAAAAGTTATACTGTGGTCACAAACAAGGGAAACTCAGTCGTGGGTACAATTGTGTCAAAGTAACAAAATGGTTCCCTTAATTAGTAATCGAAACACCCATATTACTTCGCATGTTCTTATTAACAATACACAGAAAGTAAACAAGTAAAAAGCGTTTTGTTCTCACAAATCAGATCTGCTTTTAAAGTTAATACATGATGCTTTTTGTTTCTAAGTGTTCAGATAAATTTTTACTTTGCATATAAAGTAAAATTAATCATATTTCCAGTCAGTCAGTCAGTTACAACGTAGGACCAGGCCCATACATGCATCGGTCCAAGTTGCCACACCTCATGAGCACAGCAAGATGAGTATTTCCACTCACGACCATTAATTGCTGTCGTTCTGTACTGTGATATTATGTTTGTTATTGGTTTTCGTCAGACAGCGTTTTGGTGTCAGCCTTAAATCATAGTTTATTAACTTTGATGTCAAAAGTTTGAGGAAAAGTGAAGCTCAGTAAATATTAATAGAAAGCCAATTAGTCTAACCACTAAATAGTTCTGACTAACCATCTTAACTAACTATTGATGTAATTAAATTTAAGTTTATTAATCAGTTGTACAATCTATATTCATTTTTACACTGAGAACCATGTTTATGAAATCTTTGTTTTATTTATACGAAACAATGTAAAAGAAATATCGGTGTTTATTGTATTTAGTCATCCAAATTTGTTCATTAATATGGAAGGTCAAGTTACTATCTACTTCGACCATTTTGTATTTCAACATCTACATCCGTCAATAACAATAAATATATTTATTTGTCTACATAAGTGTACATATCTAATACGCTTATATCACTCATCACGTAAATTTCATACATGATAATCTGCCATCAACAATAGATTGACCTTATTTTTCTCATTGTTTATCGGGTTAGTAAATAATAATAGAACTAAGGTAAGAAAGTGATAATCTTGAGTTTTGAATTTATTTAGTGTTAATCAAGTAAAGTAAAACTATACATGGTCGAAAGAACTAGAAAATGTAGGTTCAATTAGAAGTCTGACCTCTAGGTCAGTGTTATGTATTTAACTTCGGAATTTCAAACTATTTCTGAATGGAATTAAGAAAAGTGATAGTAATGACTATTGTCAACTAGCATGATCCTATATTCCATACATCTGCGCTTAATTCATTTTGGACTCTTCTACTGTTAACAAGAAGCTTTTTTTGTGTGTGGATTAAGTAGAAATTTAAGAGGGGACTCATATTTCACTTTGAATTGTATCAATGTTTTACTCTTCAAAGCTTTGTGTTTATCGGGAAAATCACATGTGTTTGCTTATTTTGGTCATTACAAAAATATCTCTGGATTTAAGGCCTGATTTTTAGTTTTATGCAATATTATAGTCATAAACAAATGCAACACACATTTGGTTGTGAAATTCTGATCTATGAGGTGGAAGGAACACCTGTTTTGGCTTGAGGAATCATCTGCCATCCGTATTTTATCTTTTAAGAGACATATGTCTTCCTTATGAGTTCCCAAAACTTGATAGTAATTACTAATGTGTATCGTCATGCACGAAACCAAGCAAAGAAATAGAACGGCTGATATCACTAATTATTTATTTCCAGGAACCCATTTGAACTGTATGTACTAAAGTATGTATGATGCATTACGGGATTACTTCTATGAACTCATAAATATCGTGAATGTTCTTGAAACTTTTGTTTGAATCAAAAGGTACTTTAAAAGTAATAAGACTACTCCAAAGTAAATCAGACGTGACTCATTTCTGTCATCAAGGATTATTTTTAAAAATTTAAATCCACTTTTAAGTGGATCATATAGCATTTAGCTTCACTTAAACCTTAAAATAATCACGTATTTTATTCATTAGAAAGCCCTTCATGTTAAACTTTTCTACATAACAAATATGTATCTTAAAAGATTATAATTAACTTTCAAAATACCAAAACGTATCTGTCATGTATTGTATAATCAGCCATCTATTTATGTGAATGAGGTGAATACTAGATCTCAAACCAATAAACTCTTGAATCAAATTATTCACTAAGGTATTTGTAATCCAGTTACACTATATTAATTGAATGGACGAAACTAATTTACTTTGATAAAAAAACTGTTCGATAGTTGACTCTAATATGTGCTCATAAAACTTGATAGAAATGCTTATTTGTATTTTCTATTTACTTACTCAAATATTTGTTAAATGTTGTTATGAATACAAATAATGTAAAAAAAATCAATGTAACAGAAATAATATAAACTCATTTATTTCATAGATTTTACTCAGCTATTTACAAGTTGAAAAACATAAGTATTCAATTGACTCATAACTACTATAATATCCATAAATCCTTTCTCATACTAATCAATATATGCTTACTAGTGACTGGTTTCAAAAGGTGTTTCATGGAGTTCTAGTGAGAACCAGTGATCAGTGGAGTCCAACCGGGTCTGTTGTGAGATAGTAACTTACTGATGAAAATAGTGGATGTGTCGATCAATTTCGTGAAATATTTGAAGTTAGACGTTAACACCATTGGATGCCGGCTCAGTGGTCTAGAGGTTCACATTAATCATGTGAATATTCTAGAAATTTTTGAAATTACATCATGTTATTTCTAGATTAATAATACTATTATTTTTAAGTTATAGGTAACTGGAAGGAATCTACAAATTAAATGAATCCCTATTATGTTGTCAAGATCATTGTTCTTATTTTATTTAAATTTATCAAAATGAAAATTTGTTTGGCATTAAATTATTAATTTACATGTCCAATTAAATACTATAAACAGTATTTAATTTAGTTGGTATACGGAAATGATGATGATCAAAGCTGTTTATGTTCGGTAAGAATCAAAATGTACAGACACTTATGAAGATTTATAGATATTAGCGTTTGTTATAACTTCAGCCAATCCGGAAACAAGCATACCACGTTGATATTCTCGAAAGCTCCATCATGTTCTGTTTGGATGGAAACTCTGGCTCCTTTAGGGCCTCTGGAGGCTCCGTCGTAGTTCTCGGAAGCCGACCCAACACCTCCCCGGAATAAGATTTCTTTCTTCGGTCCACTTGTAGCCTGACAACTGGTTTGCAATGGTGTTCCATTTCTTTTCCGCTGTCTTTCTTGTCCAAGTCTTCATTTCAATATCTTTGGGCATATGCTTATTTGATGTATCTGAGATTAACTAGTGGAAAATTCAGCTGATTATCTTGAGTGTGCATCATTCTTTTATCTTTAAGGATTTGATTTGCGTGTCTGACACATGTCCCAAAAGTTCCTCAGATTGTATAAAAAATTTTTCCCAACCTCTGTACGATTTTCCAGGTTCCCATCGATTCTTTCCGAGGTAGGGCTTAACGAACACTTTATCGTCAACATTAAAACTTCGGATATTAGGATTTTGTCTGCACCCATCCACTATTTTGGGTGGCAATATGGCGTTAACAATAGCTCCAATACGTCCTCTAAACATGGCCTCAGCAGAGGACTTCCCACCCGGGGCAGTTGGATTCGGTGTGGTTCTGTAGGCCGTTAAAAATTTCGTAATTATCTGTTCAGTTATCCCCTCGTCTCCCCCTCTCAGTAATGTTCGTTTAAACGTGTCGACAAAACGTTCTAATTGTCCATTCGTTTGGGGATGATAGGATGGAGAACATGGATGCGTTATTCCATTTGTACTACAAAAATACTTAAACGATTCTGCAATGAATTGTGAGCCGTTATTAGTCACTAAGGTCTCTGGGACTCCCAAGCAGCTAAACAAAGTAGATAACTTGTTATAACAGTCTAAAAGCATAAGATGCACTAGATTCTAATCGGTAGT